AGGACATACTTCCAGTGACCTAAGAATCTCCCACCAGACACCACCTTTGACAATTTCTACTGTTTTCCAATAGTGTTACTCCAGGGACCAATCCTTAACACATGGCCTTTTGAGAGACATTATTGATATTCAAATCATAGCATAATCTATTCCTTCAGAGTAAATTATACCTCTCAGTAATGAGTCCAGGCTGAAGTTTCTAGAGACCTAAATTAAAATAATTCGCACCATCAATATTGGTATGTGTGCCAAAGTCACAATGAAATGGATAGTATAATTTTACCTGTATTGTAGCCCAAACTATTAAAACTAATCTTTAAAAGCCAAACAAAACAAAAAGTAAGCAAATGGATTCAGCTTAAAATAATATCACTTAATCACTTAATGATAATGAATACATGGTAATTTATTAAAAAAATATGAAAATGTTTAGGTGTGGTCCACTTAGATTAGTCATATATTTTTTCTGTGCTATTTAAATAGAGCTACCTCAAGTCATATGAATTCAAGCAGCCATCTAAAGCAAAGTCAAAAGTAAGAACTGTCTATCTCCAAAATTAGCTGGTGTCAAAACAGAAGATGAACCACAAGCATAAATAAGTAAATTAACAGCATGTTAACTGCATAATCTAGATTTTCAGTGGACTAGTACCACAGTCCATTTTTATAATATGAATCAGTTCATGTTACTGTTAAGTAGGGAAGTAATACTGGAATAACAGGGAAGATGGGTTGGGTCATATTTAATTTTTTGTAATACTTGACTGTCTTGTGCTCTACTATAGCTGAAAGATAAGTAATGCGGTTGAATCCATGATTGCATGAGACCTAGAGAAAAACAGTACTCAAATGATGTCTTTTCAATGGGCAGCGTCTCGTTCTTCCATGACCTTGGTTCAGTCACGTGATAGGACTTATTCTGTAGTTTTCTTAGATCTTTGTGGAAAAGCAGTATCAGTGAATCAGCTATTCATCTCTAGCACCTCGACATTTCCTACAGTTTGTAACTGTTTCTCTGCCTGCCACATATGAGGGTAGTGTTCTTCTGCCCTTCCTTCCATCAGTTATCAGTATCCATCTTCCCACCAACTGTCAGGTTTGGGGCGAAGATACTGAGAATGGAACTTAGGAAAAGTGCTAAGCTCCAACCCCCCAACCCTTTTTATTTTTCTATTTCTGAGCAAGGTCTTGCCAAGTTCCTTAGACTGGCTTCCAAATTGTGATTCTCCATTCTTTGCCCACCAAACGTCTGGAATTACAGGCATGAACTACTATGGCTGGGTCATAAATAGTTTTCTTTAAACTTGTCAACTTTTTTGAAAGATAAAATTTGTAAACTGTATTTCCTTATTTGTTAGCTATTTATATGTCCTTTTCAACAAGCTTGTTTTCCTATTTTGATCATTATTGTTTCTGTTAATGCTACATTTCAGTAGCATAACCCTAAACTTTGCTACAGGTTAGTCACCTGTATGTTTCATAATCTTGCTGCCCAGTGTCTCCTCTCATATCATTGTATTCAGAATGTCTGGGTGGGGTAACCAGGCATCAATACTAGTTTTTAAAGATTCCCAGGTGAGAAAAATAAGCAGCAAAGTTTGATAACGATTGCTAAATTGTTCAGGTTCTGAGTGGGTAATTCCCACACCTATTGTTTCTTTAGGTTGTTACTTTAATTGAACCATTTGAGAAAAGTGAAAATTTTAGCTACAATACGTACAATATTGTAGCTACAATACTTACGTTTTCATTTTTTGTTTCTTTAGTCTGAAGTCTAAATGTTAGTATCTCCCTAATATTCTTACATTGGAACCCCATACCTGATGAGGTAGTACGAAGAAATGAGGGGCTAGAGATATAACTAAGTGGTAAAGGGCTTGCCTGGTATATGCCATTCCTTGGGTCTCAACTCCAGCATTACATACACAGACATACACACAAAGAGGTGGTACGTTGTGATGAGGGTGTAGTTCAGTGGTACAGCAAGTATCTAGCATGCATAAGGCTCCAGGTCCAATCCCAAAATACCACACATACACAAAAGAAGTGAGGTTTTTGCAAAAGTGATTAAGAGTATTCATGACTGGGGGATATGTTCTCATAAAAGAGGTTGAAGTAACTATTTTGTGAGCATGGAACAAAAAATACTATGTATAAGAAACAGGCTTTCACTAGATATCAAATAGGCTGGCAGTTGGAATTTGGACTCCTTAGCCTCCAGAAGAGTAATTTGTGAATAGTTTATATATAACTCAGTCTAAGGTATTTGATTACAGTAGCCCAATTTAAACCTTTACTTTAAAAATTTTCTTTTCAAAATTTTAACAAGCATTTATCTCCCCTTTCTTTAATTAAAATGTGTTCCTTCCAGGTAATAAGAAAATAAAACAGTGAATGAAATGTATTAAAATAAACTTTGGGCCTAGAGCTACTTATGATATAGTCTATGTCTGTGAATAATAGTCACTAATATTTATTGAATGCTTTTTACATACCAGGTTTTCTACCATTTATTTTCTGAACAATTTGAAGTTAGTGCTTATTGAGATCTTTGTGTGTATGTGTGGTCCTATGTATTGAACCCAGAACTTTGTGAATGCTAGGCAAGCAAGCAAACATTCTACCATGGAGCTATAATCCCAGTTCTGAGTCAGTATTCTTCAATACTATGTTATACTGATTCTTAGTACATTAGTTGCATTAAGAAATGGAGTTTAAAATACTTGTCATTATTAGTAAGTGGAATAAAATCTACGTGACAAGTACCTTGTAATTTATAGGTTAAATGAACTTAAATTTCCTTATCAGTTACATATTTATAAATGGGGATTTTCTTCCATGCACTAATTATTCTACCTTTGTAACTAAACCTGTGTTAACTAGGAATTATCTTTAAGAAGAATACATGTATATATATATGTATATATATATATACATATATATGTGTGTGTGTGTTTCTTCCATATATATATATATATATATATATCTTCTACATATAGGTATCTTCTTTTAACAGTACATATATATACATATTTCCTTTAAGATTACCATATACATTGCTTTTACTAATATACATATCTTTAGTATACACACACACACACACACATATATATATATATATATATATATATTTATCTTTTATGCCTAGGATAACCCTAGAGAGAAATATTCAATATATATGCTGATTAATATCTTTGCAATTTGAATGAATACAAATAAAAAAATAAAAGTTCTCATTACACTAAGCTAAATGAAATATTATTTTAATTTTGAAATTATTTTGTTGGTTTTTGAAAAATATTTACAAAGCAGTATAAATTTTGTTTTCTCAGATTCAAAGAGTCTGATCTTTCTGCTCATTTTTATTTGCTCAAGATTTAGATTTAGAACTAATAGAATTAGTTCCAAGAATACCTTGGATGATAATTTTCAGTGATAAAATATCATTTACAGGAAGAATTTGAGAGATTTTTGTGTTAAGGTGAAAGTGTACTATACCTTTTAGTTTTAATATAAAACACTTCCTCTTTGGACCTTCTCCTTTATGAGATACTAAACTTTCTATGTTCATGTACTTCAAAAGTCACATGACTAATTTAGTGAAATAACGAAAGAAACATTTCCGTCAGGATCTACTTTTAGTCATAATAAATGTACTCTTTATTCATATGCTTTTTCTCCACATCTATGATTTTTAGGGATTACATAAAATAGCAATTTTAAAATGTATATACAAAATTTTCAAACAAAAGAGAGTTTGTGATGATCTATAAGCACTAAACATCTGCTGTTTGTCTTATGAATGTAATGGAAATTATAAAAGGACTGATAATGTATTTATGATAGGATTAATTCTATTAATTATGTTAAAAAACATTTTCTAAACATAAATATACTCCAAAGGATGAGAGCCCCGTGGATTATTCATTTTAAGAAAGTGACATATAATTTTAAAAAGTTTTACTAATGATACATCATTTACTATTAAAAAATTGGTTGAAATTGAACACACAAACACCTAATTTAATTGAACAAGTTGGTAGGCCTCATAATATATTCATTTTTTTTCATTTATGGAAGATTTATTTGTTCTCCAGATTACCCAGAATATTCACTACCTAATTTGAGTATAAGAAGTGTGCTACAGACAGGACTAAGTTTCAATTATGTAAAATATTAACCACTTGGGGAGGCTAACCTTATTATGCAGGTGTGTTCTAATCAAAACAGACACCTTCACTTTTCTGAGGAAAACTAAGGGGATTCCAAAAATGTTTTTCAACATTCTTCAAGTAAGAGAAAACATGCCCAACTGGAATTTAAAGACAATGTGAAAAAGGAAAATCAATCCTACCAGTGTTTTGTGTACAGAACCTTTTATAACTTCAAGCCCTTTTAAAACCTGAAGGGCAAGTGATACTTTCTGGAATGATACCCAAAATGATAGCTATAGCAAGATCTAAGTAGAGGTCCAGTGGAGAAATGTTTTGTACAAACACAATGACATGCATGTCCTTACTTGGGTTTAGTTTCTCGAAGAAGCTAATAATGCCTCCATTTTAGAGAACCTTGAGAGTCAAATGCCTAGTACACAAACATGCTTTTCATTATTATTCTCCAGAGATACAACTCATGTGATTACAACGTGTACAACTTCGAGCTGGGTCGTCTGACTTCTTTAATTTTCAACTCGTGCTGCTGAAAACTAGTCCCTGGACATAACAGAACTATCTCTGTGAAAACACCGTGTTCCGTTTCTTCTTGCCTCATCGTCTCACATTTTCCCCTATCAACTCCCAACACATTGTCTGTCCCTAGGCTAGGAAGCTCGCTCTCCCGCCGTCTCGCACCCACCCCACCTTCAGGAAGGATCTCTTCTCTTTTCCGCTTCCGGATGGTTTTTGTCCCTCTCAATTTCCGGGTCATTATCCGGAAGACCCGAGGAAACACTGCGCACGCGCTCTAACAGTCAACGCTTGGCTTCCTGTTTGGTTGGCTGACTCTTTTTCAATTTCCGACTGGAGCCCACGGCAGCTCGGCAAGTCTCGCGTTATTTGTTGTGGGCGGCGGGCGCGAGCCAGTGCGTGTTTCTGGCGGGCCTTTTTAGCTCTGCTCCTTGCCTGTTGCCCGGAACGTCTGGGCTGAGCAGCATGACGTCTGCTTTGGAGAATTATATTAACCGTATCCTCTTGTTCGGCCGACAGAATCAACGCGGCTGGTATGGGTACTGTGGAGGACCCTGGCTGGAGGGGCCTTTGGTCTGGATTGGCGGGAGGTGGGAAGCGGGCGGAAAAGGGCCGAAGAGCAGCCGGTCCAGCGACCTGAGTCAAGCTTGCGGCCCTAGATCGCCTTTTTGTTTTAGCCTTAGGAAGGAAGTATAGGGCTGGGGATTTAGTTCAGCCGCGTAAATACCGCGTAGCAAGCGCGAGATAGCGAGTTTACAAAAAAAAAAAAAAAAGTGTAAAAACACTGTATTGATTCATACTTATTATTTCCTTAAAACTTACATCTTCAGGTTTTGGCATAAGATGAAACGTTTCTGTGGCAGCGATGATAGTTTTGTAAATCTGTGTATTGTAATTGTTTCGGTCACGGGCTTTGCTCATTGTTTAAAAGCAGCAAACAAAGCTGGTCCACAAAGCAATCTTCCACTTCTTTCCCACTTGAAGTCTCACTTGTTGATAATGAAAATATCGTTTGCTTTTATAATGTATTATAGTGTCTCAGGACAATAACATTTCCTTGTAGTTGCACAAATGTGGCAGGAAGGTTAAATACTGAAGTCTTTAAAAGATGCAAGCATTTTTGGTATCCTGCGACGTTAATTGTAGCCTTTTTGAATTCCAGAAGCCTATCTTGGAAGACAATTGTTTTAACTTTGTGAAATCATACACATTGATTAATTTAGGCCTGTACAGTTTTTATAAGAAAGGAGAAATGTCTCGCACAAGAGCGTAGATTGGCAACATTCTTAGTAAGAAAAAAAAAGTGCCAAGCATCCCATCCGCTTTAAGACAGGATACGTTTTCAAATGCAGAGAGAGGATTTCGTTTTTTATTTTAAAAATTTTTTGGTTATGTAGTTATCACAAAAGCAGAATTTAAAGAAGTTAGGGCAAAATGAATTTGTTAAATGGAAGAATCTTAATTGTCTTTTTTTTCCCAGTAATCCAAACCACTCTCTTACAGGAATCTTTAAGTTTGTAGTTTGTATTCCCTAAGAAATTCTTTCCTTGATTCAGTTGTCAGGAACTGTTGCTGTTATTACTTCTGATGGGAGAATGATTGTGGTAAGTGGCATTTTCATTCTTGTAGGCTTACTTGTTGCAAATTTTATATGCACCTTCTGATCTTCACTGCCTATGCAGCGCAGTACATCTGTATTGCTTTTTTTTTCGATTCAGCTCTTTACCTTTATTGCCTTGCTGAAAATCTGTATTTCCTTCATGGACAGAGTCTGAGTGTGTGCTATGTACAAGGCTTCTTGAGAATACAATAATATATTTATTTATTGTATTATTTTGTTTGCTTCCATTTCTATTAAGTGCTCTGACATTCACTATAAAATAATTTTGTATATGTTTCTTAGAAACTTGTGCCTTATCATACTACATGGATATTTAATCATTCATATAACAATAGACATCAAGTCTGAAAAGTATATTATGTGATTTCTTTGTATGAAAATCTTGAGTATACTTACATAATCTAGGCAGCTGTGATATGACTAGGTGATTTAATCTTATGGCACTGTGATATCAATAGGTGATTTAATTTTATGGGATCACTGTTGTGTTTGCAGTCCATCCTTGGTTCAAATATTGATATGTAGTAGATAACTATAGTTTAATCTGTTATTTTTTCATACTGTAGTTTTGCTTTTGTATTCTTTTTTAATTATTGTAGTTATTATTAATGGGACACTACTATTACATATACCACTTATTGAGTATATACTGTAGGCACTTTATATGTGTTGTATTTGATTGGTCTGCAGTACGAATTTGTGAAGAATTACTCTGTGTTGTAGGTCAGGAATCAAACTCAGAGAAAGTAAGTCCCTTTTCCTGTGCTACAGCATTGTAAATGGCGAAACTAAATGGGGATTTCAATTAGGTTTGATTCCAAAGACAGGATAGTCTTACTTCTTCCTTAAGAAAAAAAACATGAATTTTTTTCTTTTTGGCACTTTATATTGTATTTTGTAAGATATGGGCAGTTTGAAATATTTTAATCTCAAGCCTTCAAGAATCCTGTATTTGTAAATAATTTTTATTTTGTGAAAACTTTGCTAAAGTTTCTTTTGTTAACAAGATAGTGAATTTTATAGAAGGAAAGTTGAGTACTAAAATTTTAATAGTTCTGCATTTGATACATAGTTTTTTAGGATAGGTATATGTAAAATTAAACAGGCTGTTTTGTATGAGTATTTGTGATAACAACTATTCGCTGACTAACATATCTATTCATCTTGGCTCTCTTCCAAATTCTAGCTTATGGTTTTCTATTTTATTCTGATTTTATGTATTTGTTTTTCAGAATAAGAAACAGTTTGTTAGTCAGCTTGAGAGGTTAACCAGCCAAAGCCAGAATAAGTTAGTTTCTTCAGAAATTTATTGCATCTGAGTGGCTTATGTTTTGCTATATCTATATCTTCATTAAAAAATCAACCATCTTTTATAAAACTTTATCTTATTATCTTCTTTATAATTTCCTGTTAATTACAGTCATATCTGTATCTACTGGGTTATTGGAAAAATTAAATAAATACATCTGAAACACAAAATACTGGCAACTAGTTAAGTACTTTTTAAGTTTTAGCTGTTAGAAGTTTATATATATTTATGGGACAGGTTTGAACATTTGACATATTTATATATTTACAGTAGTGTGATGTATCTGTTTAGTGTTCCGACTCGAACTAACAGTCTGTTTTGCCACTTCGTTGTTGGAATCATGGGTGTGCTATTCACTATTCATGAGACCTTGAAAAACATTCAAGGGCCTCCAGTTTTCTTCTTTTAAATGAGTAAAATTATAATTTGACCTTAACAGGTGGAGATGAGATGCATACAGTGCTTTAGTGTTAGTATGTGGCATGCAGTTGTATTACTGTATTACTATATCTAGTATTTATAGATAAGGCTTTCTTACTTGAATATCATTTTCTCTTATATACCCTTCATTTAGTATTCTCAGAATGTTTGATTCTATACTATAAGAGCTTTTTGCTACTTACTTGAAAATACTCTGGTACATGGATGTCCTTGTGACTCTTGATAATGCCTTACACAATCAAGAAGTAAGTGCTTTGCTCTGGAACACTATTGGTTTTTTTTAGTCTACTTACAGTGCAGATATGTGCCCAACTACTAAAATGGTTGTAAAATTATATTTGCACATTTGTGTAATCCAGAATATTTCTCTTTTTCTGGGATGTTTTCTTCCTAGGGTACACTGAAAGGTTTTGACCAGACCATTAATTTGATTTTGGATGAAAGCCATGAACGAGTATTCAGCTCTTCCCAGGGAGTTGAACAAGTGGTACTAGGATTATACATCGTAAGAGGTGACAATGTGTAAGTAAAAATATGTCTTTGAAGTTAAGTTAAATTATACTACAGGTATACTTCCCTGCTTTATGAAGAAAGAGACTTTTCCAAAAATATACTGTATTATTTATATATAATTAACAGAAATAGGCATTCGTTTATTTTGTGAGGGTTATGTTTGCTTGGAAGTAAGGCAAAACTATAAGTTTTATGTTAAGATTGTTCAGGAGCAAGCAAGATGATCTCTTTGCAAATTAAACTTTTACTTGCTGAGATTTGTCTTTCTAATAGTTAAGTGGCTGGGGTCCTACAGGCTTGCTTTGTACTAACTACTTTATTTCTGAGGCTTCTAAACATGTTCTGACTAGTCTGTGTTTCAGACAAGATCAGGCTCCTCAGGCCATGAACAACTAGTCTGGATTTCACAGGAACACTGCTAGGGTCCAAGACTAGAGTTTGCAAAATCAGGCTCTTCAGGAAATGAACAGCTAGTCTGGATTTCACAGGAATACTCAGAAACACTCCTAGGGTCCAAGGCTAGAGTTTGCAAAATCTTTTGAAATCTCCTGTTCAAACAATTTTAAATAAATAATGCTTATTCATAATTGACAAATATTATTTTTTAGTGTAATTGACATACTTACAACATGCATGTTCATCCTGTGGTATTAATTACCTTGGGACACTGATAATTTCATTTGAGAGGTTGTTTGTTTTTTTTTGGTACTGGGGAATGCACTCATGATCTTGCTAGCCAGCTTACCTAAGTACTTAGGCCACTGAGCTAGATTCCTAGCCTTAGTTTGAGAGTGTTTCAAGAGATAGCAATTTAAAGAAAGCAGGTAATCATGTAGAGCAGAAATGTTTCTGATGATGGGAATGTTGTATATTGGTATTTTTCAATACTACCATATGAGGCTATTGAGTGTTCAAAAAGTGACTGACATGGCTGATTAACTTGTGAATATTAATAAGTTTAATTAATAGTTACATGTGGATAGTATTATATGTTAACTGACTAGAGTATTGAAACCGTTTTTAGTGATAGAATTAAAATATGACTGGAAAACAACAAAAGATATCTTAGCAATTTTGATTATTATTTGATCTTTAATCAAAATCTGGGGTTTATAAAATACACTATAGAGTAACTTTAGGTAAAGTTAGAAGGTAAACTATAAAGACTAAGAAGACATATTAGGAACAAGTCCCCTGACCAGAACAACACTGATCTTCTATATTGGACTTGTGTTAAACAGTTGATTTTGAGGTTTATTCTACTTTACCTCATTTTTTTTTTTTTTTTTTTTGTCTTTTTTCGTTTTTATCGGTACCAGGGATCGAACTCACGACTGCCTGCTTGCAAGGCAGGCACTTATGCCGCTGAGCTAAATCCCCAGCCCCTGGTTTATTCTACTTTAAAAAGTGTGTTTTTTTTTTTGTTAAATCTTACTCCTGTACCCAGGTGTGTTAAATGCAGATTGTATTGGCTGTATGGTAGCAGATTGTTACATTTTCTGGAATTTGGAAAGCTAATTTGTAGTTGTCTTGTTAATACCTTGGAATTGTCTACGGTGGAATATTTGCCTAAAGGATATTCATAATTGCTACAAATCAGTCGTTTTCTATAGAAAACTGGTTTTTAAATATTTGCCAGTACTTCTTTAATATTGGTTGTTATAATAATGTTACCTACAAATTATTTCTCTTCGAGTTTTTAAAATTTTTTGTTAGTACATGTTTGTAATACATAATTATTACAGTCATCATGGGCAGTGGTATGTGTGACATAGTACATCTTAATTCGTTTTACATCCTTTTCCATTCCCTTTTCTTCCTCCTCCATTTTTTGATCTCTTTCTCATTTGTAAAAGATTTTTGATTTCCATGTGTAATTTGCTAGCTGGTGAAAATATTGTTTACTTTCTACCTTAAGTTCTCTTTACTATGCCGTCTCAGTTTTATGTGTTTTGGAAAAATGGAACTGATTGCTTAGATTTGATTTGTAAGCTTTTAGAAATACAGTTACATTTATTTCAGAAATGTGTTTGTTTTAACTCTTGGCTCTTTTATACTTACAGTGCAGTCATTGGAGAAATTGATGAAGAGACAGATTCTGCACTTGACTTGGGAAATATTCGAGCAGAACCTCTAAACTCTGTAGCACACTGAGGAAAAACGGCATGCACTAGATAGACATCTGTATATCTTGTACAGAAACTGTCCTGCGGATGGTGTTCAGAATTTTTATGAACATGTTAATTGTGGATTTTGACTGACTCATTGTATTATGTAAATCAAAATATTTCTATGTTTTTATTGAAAAAACTTTTTTGCCTAAATTATAAGTGTGGTAGCTTCATTTTATTTTTCTACTGAATAAGAAAAAATCAATACTTTCTGATATTTTGATATTTATAAAAAAGTAGTTGAAATTTTGAGTTATATAAATCATGCATATAAGCAAGTAGCGCACGATGTTTGTTTTTTTTTTTCTAAAATTTTAAACAGTGTCACCAGAAGATAAAGCTTCTGATGAAACAAATCACTGAAATTCATCCTCCTTAAGCACTAGTGATATTAGTGATGCTAGTGCTTCTAAAAGTTGCTCCCTAGTTGGGTAAATTTGTATTTGGTTGAGTGAAGAATGCCAACAAAGTTTTAATAAATTGGATTAAAACCTAAACTTGGATATTAAAGATGAGTAAGAGGTAGGATTGGTAGAGAAGATAGCAAAACGTTTGGATGATTGATAAGTTTGATATAAAAGTAATACAAACATGTTAATACTGATTTTTAACAGTATAGTATCTGAAAAATTGATTTCATACAATCTTAAAAGCCATTGTAGTTTTTAACTTTTCAGAATTGGGAATTTCTAATATAATTTCTGTTGCTTTGCTATGTGGGTAAATAAACCTTAGGTTTATATTAGAGCAGCACTTGCTGTTGCCAGTAGCTTTTCATGATAGACTTTCCATAAAACTGATTGCAAAAGAAAACTTGATCTTTTAAAGAATTCATAGAAATAAAGTTATAAGTAGTATTTAGGTAATCCAGGTTAGTTCACAAAAATTTGTGATGAAGAAAATTGAAAAATAGTCGTATCCATGTAATTCCAAGAAAATTTAAATCTTTTTTTAATATGAAAGTCTTTAAGGTAGAGGCTGGCAAACATTTTTGGTAAAGAACCAGACAGTAAGTATTTGTAGACCATGTGGTCTGTGTGCTCAACTGCTGCCGTAACAAAAGCAGGTGTAGATCCAAATATATGAGTAGTCACAGGCTATACATAAATATAGTCATGGGCTATACATTAATAGTCACAACTGTTTTCAAATAAAACTTCATTTGTGAAAACAGGCATCAGGCTGTATTTGCTCTGAAGGCCAGAGTTTGCTGACTCATCTCTAACTATTAGTTTAGTAAGAAGAGAAGCTGACTACTTTATGTAAATTCTGAAAAGATTTTCTGGAATGGATCCTTTGAGAGTTTAGAGGTGAGTTTCAAAAGATATTTTTTAATATTTGAAACTTAAGACATAATTTTGGCTACTTCTAAGGAGACAAATGTTTTAGTTTTTTATAGGTTAGAAACCATAATTACCTTGAGATAATTTGGTTGATGTTCATTGCTGCCTGGGAGGAAGATTAGATTAGCCAGTCAGTATTGGCTGTTTATATTTGGCTTTGAAACAGAGGATTTTATAATTGATTTAGTAATAAAATGAAAATAATGCAAAGTGGGTAAGGTAACCAAGCTTAGAGACTTACAACTTTAAAAAATAGATTTTGGGATTTTGTCAGGGATATTTATAAGCCATTAATACATGCTAGGCACTGCGTAAAGATCTGTACATATCAAGGAACAGACTCCTTTCCTTGTGTAATTTGCTTTTATCTGATACCTCAACCAAATCATCTTGACTTGATGGTTTACTGTCCAAGAGTCAAGAGTTTATTCATTATATTACTTAAGTATTCTGGAATATAATTTATGAGACCTGGACTCATTTAAAGCAAATGTGGACGATCTTAAATGGATATAATTCCTATGAACCATTTTTCCCTATCATTTTTTTCCTCTCTTTTAAGATTGCTAAATCCATACAGGTTGCAAAACTCTTTAAGAATGAAGGATAGGATTTCACCAGCAGTTTTCTTCCATTGGTTAACATTTACCATCTGTTCCTTATTGGTAACATTTGGTAGATGAAGAGTTACTTTATAGAATATTACTTGCCAGGAGTAGCATGAATCAAAAACTATTAAAGCTTGCATCACATTCTCATTCTAGGCCAGTGCTTGTTCTCAGCACCGTGGGAGGCTGAGGTGAGAGGTTGGTAAGTAAGAACCCAGCCCGGGCAGTTTACAGAGTTACTGAGATCTTGCCTCAAAAATAAGCCATCAAAAAACACAAAAAGGAGTGAGAATGTAGCTCAGTGCAAAGGCCCTGGATTCACTCCCATTACTGGAGGAAAAGATGCCAATTAATTAGTCCCAGTGAGTTTTCAGCTGCATCATATGACTTCTTCCCTGTTCTTATTAGGATTCTCAGTTTTATTGTAAACATTTTGTTTTTAATTTTCCTTTCCTCATATTACTTGGTTTTATACATAATAAAAAGCTACCAAATTTTTATTATATTTGAAATATGTTGAAAAGAATTCAGCTGTTATGATGGGTGTATGACATCTCTGAGTGATAATGCATTGACCCAAATATTAAAAAGTCTGTGTATGTGTGTATTGAATAATAGCTGAAGTAGAGAGCTGAAGCTATGTACAATATACCATGGTTCACTTATTTTTTGTTTTATTAGGAAAATGATTATAATAAATAGCCCTCTACAAAGAAGAAAACTCATTAGTGGATCATAACTTGCCAGTGAATGCCATCCTATAAGCTTACGTAACAAATGTTTGTTTAAAATAAATGACCTAAAAGTCATTCCAAAGAGAACTAAAAGTTATAATTTTTAAGTTTTATTTATTTTAAAAGCTGGTTTTTAATCTTAAAAAGCATTTAGATCTGTCACCCTGACTTGACATTTCAATTCAGATAAATAGAATTTTTAGAAGGAAATTTCTTAAGATTTAGAGTCTCCGGTGAGGCCAATACAGTATGGCAGTGGATGTCACAGGCTCTGGAGTCAGAGTTGATTTGTAGTGCTAACGTGTTAATTTTTCCTTACTTTGGTTGCTCCAGTAAAAATGAGGCAGAAATATTTGCCTGTTTAGGTTATGAAGATTAATAAAGCACTTGGGACACTTTCTGAAATACACTATTTTGTAAGTAGTAATGCTAGTTAGCATTTATCTTAATAATGAATGGTGGATTTCAAGTTATTATGACTAAGAAAAGTATTCCAGTAAGAATATTCTCTGATAACGATATTTGATGGGTAGGGGGAAAAAACCTAGTAAAATCTGCGAGACCTAGAAGTTTAATAGGAATGAAAATGTTTTTCCCTTACGTATCAAGTAATGTGATATTTTGATCGCCACTTTTGAGTAAAAATGAGGAAGGAGATTAGGGCATGGCAAACTGGCTGGGGAAGTGAGCATAACTTGTGGAGCACAGACTTTCAGGACATATGAGCAGAACATTTCCTAAACTCCTGTACTTGAAACTAATCATAGTGCTATTTTTAATTCTCTTGATAATTCAAGCAGGTTTTTGAGACCATGGCCTAGGCCTGACAATCAGCCTGAGGAGTGGAGACACAAAAAGACCACCACCGCCACGCTGGAGCTACTGCTAACTTTTTGAGGGGCCAACTCTGTAGTTTGCAGGGTGGGTCTCTTTTGTTACCTTTAGGTGGCCAAAACTTGCTCTGCACAGCATTTTGTTTTGTTTTTAGTAAATTTAAAGAGATTTAATAAATGTAAAATCTCACTATCCTCTACACTCATCTTGACCAGTTCTTTGGTCAGAGCAGAAATAACGTATAAATCATCTCTAGAAAGAGATTCCAGACTCCAAACCCAGTAACGTACTCACAGACACATTTGGGTGTGCGTGCTTGCACATATACACATACACACACCCACCCACTCACCAACCCACCCAAGAAGGAAAAATCCAGGAAAGTGCCCTGAAAGTCACAGTTGGTTAGAATTACATAAAAAGACTATTCAATTGGAAAAGATAAAAGGAAACAGAATGTGCTACAAATCTGAAAGGAATGAGAAATTATATACTTAATTGAATATTAAAACTAATATTTGAAGATTGAAAAGATAACTTAGGACACATGAAATTCTACATTAAAGTATGAGTTAATTCATCAGTAACATACTTCATTTTCTGAGTATTTGCTACATGACAATTTTATCAGACATTTGACATGTCTGGTAAAGTGGGATTTGAAGGCAATACATAAAAGTCCAGGGAGAGATGCTTCTGGGGTAGAGATAATTGGGAAAGCATGAAGGGGAATCTTTGAAATGAATTCACTGCGCTGGGCCCTCAAGGAAGGTAAGGTTTGCATAGATGGGTTAGGAAACCTTTTCAAATTGGTGGACTCAGTGTTAGGAATGAGCAAGCCGTGTTTCAGTAATGAGACTGACACTGAATAAAGGGTCAGATCCTGAATATTCCCAAATAAAAAAGACCTGTCTCACTAGTTGGGAAATGGTATTTGAGCTTTGGACTATCTGTTTTGTATACCAAAGATCCAAGGCTTTATGGTATCTGAATTTGGGAACGACATGTTTTTGTGATTGAGCTAGATAGCCCAGGGCACAAACATCTGAGTGAGGTTCTGTGGTGGTGAATGCTTTGCATGTGTTATCAAATGTTGCTGGAATAATGTTTGTGCAGCTCCACTGCAAGAAAACAATGGAAAAAGTATGTCTGGTTTCACCTTGACTTTACTATTTTCATTTTGGTTTTAATTTGTACCTTTCACTGTGCTAAGTTGTAACCATGATAATAATCACACTTCTAAGTTCTGTGAATCCTGGCAAATCATTGAAACTCAGGGTAGTCTCAAAGATCCCCATTTCACTGTCTAAATTTTTCATTGAAAATTATGAAGAAAGAAAGAAAAGATGGTCTTAAGTTAGGGCAAAGTTTACCCTTTATTTGTTTAGTAGTAAATTGTATCTTTGGAATATTCAGTAGGTAAACTAGGAAAGGAACATCAATTCAGTGCCTTTAAACAAAACTGATAGCCTGAAGGAGAAACTGGAGGGAAATGATTTTAAGTTAGGGGGCAATCAATAATTATAAACTGTCAGCTGACATATTTTTGGGTTAGGATGTTAGATGTGACACACTATATAGAAAGGAAATTAAAATATTTTGGAAAGGTGATACTGATGTTTTAAGGGTGCCAA